AGTAATACAAATAACGATTTTAATTCATGAAACTTGTCTTTATGAAATCATTACTGCCATTAATGAATTCGAACGTCCATCGATCCAACAGAAATTGATATACAACATTCGTGCATAGGACAAAGAACGTACGAAAGCAATGTTCTAAATGTCTAGAACTAAATTCCTGAGGTATACGTTTCCAATTAAATTATTGAAACATTTTTCTTCTCGAACGAAAAACATATATAAAATAAATATATTTTATTTTCATAATTATAAAATTCATTTTTAACTATAATTAATTCCAGTTAATAAAATATTTATCTATCGGAGGAAGGCATTATTTGCTTCGAAATACTTATATCCCTTAACTTTTTCAGCGAGCGTGTGTAAATGTGTTCGCACAACTTTACAATTTTTCTTATATATAAGAGAAAAAGAAGAAAAAACAGCGTTCGATGGCTGGAAAAAAATTTACAAACCGTGTCAGTGATTCCCAATTGGTTAAGCTACTTAAATAAAAAAAAAAAAGTTCCCCTGCGAACGTATCTACATATCGGAACTCGAGCGTTTTAATTCGGTCTCGATCTAATTTTTTTGTTCCTTGCCCATACTTTTTCCCTTCTGTTTCGTGATTCTGAATATTTCGAATCGTGGCTATCGTATCGAGGCCGCGTTATTCATTTCACCCGTTCCGTTTTTACATTTATTCCCGGCGATTCAATCGCGGCCGAATTTTCCCGGATTCTCGACACGCGAGGCAACTGTACTTTCCGCGAAACCGTATCACCGCGGCGAAACATGACGGAAATTCTCGCTGGTCGAGTTACGCTCCTTTCTGAATTTACGTTACTCGAGCTGGCGTGTCTCGAATGGCTTAGAGTGTTGCGGAGTCGCGGCTTTTGAAACCGCAACGCTACGAACTTTCCCGCGATCTTTGGTGACACAACATTCCCACGATTTAATGCGGACAGTGTGACTGACTTAGAGAGTAAACCACTTATCCAACGTACACGCTTGAGATAGTTCGACGATACGGTTTGGAATTAACTCTGCCACGTCTTTTGCGTTATTTTCGATTCAATCGTGTCTTTTTATCCCTAACAAGGAAAATTGTACAGGGTTAGTTTTGAACGCTAGAATTACGAGAGTGGTCAAAGTAAACAACATATATACGTAATAGTCGTTTATTTTTTTCCTTTGTATTATGAACATTTTTTCGGATGTCTTTCGCCTTGATTTTCTTGCTACAAGTTTCATACTTCAGTCGTCGGTATCTCTAGTGATTTGTCTAAATGTTTTAGTTGGACTGTGCTAAAATTTCCTTTAGAATGTTGAAATTCCTTTTGTTAAGTGAAATGAGCGCGAGAATAGGACATATAAATTTGTAACGAGATTAAAGTTGTGTTGAAGCGGTAAAATAGAAAATGGTATTTTTAAAATAGGCAAAGTAGCTTTGATTAATTATTCCCCGAAAAAATCTAAAGTTCTTCTTTCTAATTATTTACCTAAGCGAGGTATTATTTTCTAATAGGTAATATCACATATTGAATAGATATAATTAAAAGAAAATTGTACAGCAATGGCTTCCCTTTATTAATATCCCCGTCAGTTTTCCGAAAATAAGAAATATATCTACTAGCGAAACGGTAAAAGAAGAAACGATTGAATGGAGGTGACATTAATAGAATAAGTTACTAGCTAGCCACGTTTCAATGCCTTCTGATAATATATTATCGAGATCCATTTCGATCCAATTCCTATCGCACGAATGAAAATATATCAATGGGGTCAAAAGCGCTTTAAAGGCCAGTCACTTGGAATGAGTTGTCCATAGGATCGCACGAAGGTCCCTTTCACGCTATAAATCTCCTAAAAACGATTCTCTTGAGCTGATGTTTGAAAAGATTGCACCGGGAGCTTTTACGAAGTTTTATTTCCTTGATAATTCCAAGCTCGAGTGGTACTTTATCGATGGTCAAGGAAAGGATAATTTTGCCGGTTCCTTGTCTTTCGTTATAATGCTGTAAAAACTACACGTTCCTTTCAATGCAAGAATCAGAGCTGCGATTATTGGAAACTCTTCAGTTTATTTGTATTCGAAGAGAAAGAGCGAAATAACGTTATTTCGTCTAAACGTAGGTAGAATACCGTGGATGTCCAATATACTAGTTTCAATTTTCGTAACACATGCAAATGTTTATACATATGAAATGAAGATTGAGAAAAATTTATATAGACTACAACTAGGTACGATCTACTATTAATTTCATTCGAAATAAAGTAGTATGGTAAGAAAAATAAATTATTTGACACATACGATACCATATTTAGAAGCAAAAAATCATACACGACTGGTACGAATTTTTTGAAATTATTCGACGTAAAATTACTTGAAAGTCGGTAGCTTGAACCGAGTTATCGTAACTATTTGACAAGTTATCCGTGTCAAAGCGCTTCCTGAGTGACAAGGAATGCATTATTAATCGATCGGCAATTACTTGTACAAACTGGATGGACCAGAGCTGAACCGCAAGCGCAACGTCCATTAACGTCGCAAAATTCTGTCACCGATGCGGCTGGTTCGGCTTTTATTTTTCACTTTTCCCGTTTACATCGCTAAGCACGAGTCGAGAGCGTCGAAAGAAGGAGACATTAATTACATTAGAACGAAACGCGCCCGCTTGCCTAGACACTTGGCTTAGTAATGTGGCTGTAACCGAGCGACAATCAAACTAATCAGCTGATAAAATCCCTTAAATATAAGGGAAAGCAGACCACCTCTTCTTCTCTTTACAGATGGTATTTTCATCCGGCGGTTCTCCACACCAGAAAATAGGAGTATTGATAACCATGATGAAGCCCAACCACTCAGTTAACAATACTGGGCTCTGCCATGCCTATGCCCAAACTGGTAGTTGACTGACCAACTTTCATCCCCCCCCCCCCCCC